TGGAGATAAATTTTCTTCTCGCAAGAGAACTACTGTGCCAGGCATTAATTTAGAACCCCTTTCACTTGCCCATTTTACCTTGTCTTGTAAATGCGTCAAATATTCATGACTCCAATGCTTCCACAAGTCCTGAGACAGTTTTTGTACGCGCTACCACGTCGAAGTGACTGAGAGGAATCGCCTCGTAACATTTCTCTGGAACAGCTATTAATGAGTCACCAATAAGGAAGTGAGCAGGAGTTAAACAATCTAGGTCTAAAGGATCAGTGGTTAAAGGTGTTAAAGAACGGGAGTTTAAACAAGCCTCAGCACGCGTTAATATAGTAGAGAATTCCTCTATTGTTAAACACAAATCTTTTAATACTTTATTTAATAAATATTTCATCAATTTAATGGCACTCTCCAATATTTAAATCAGTATACAAAAATCAATTACAATTAGCTATTTGTAAATTTTTAACTACCTTTTACGCCAATCGCGCAAGTAAAAGTTCCGCACATAATTCGAGGCGTGGGAAAGACACTGTTTTTATAGGAGCTACCTTTGACTTCTCGCAAATAAGATAGACAATATGTTGACCGTGTTCATTAGTGGTGCGTAAATATAACGCCACTCCATATGCACGAATGGAACTATCTGAAAAACCATGTACCTGATACTCGACAATTTTTTGTTCGCCAATGATTTTAGGCGGAATAATAATTTTATTAATAGAACTAAGTTTTTTCGCATACGCTTCCCAATAATTTTTTATATTTACAGGAACGGGTTCGTCCCACTCTAATTGTTGTTGCCATAAATTTTGCATTAGAAGTTTGCTCTGTACTATTATCGGACCAAGTAGACCAAGCGGATCATAAATTGAGGCAATATGCGATAAAATTGAACGTTTCGTTATTGACCCAGATATAGAAATATTTTTAACAATATATTGTAAAGTATCAAAATACGCATTCCATACAAGCCCTAGTACCTTTGTTATCGGGCCGTCGTTATTAGGAATTATATATGACTATTATTGTTGTTTGAATGTAGTCCGCTGATTAAATTAGGCTCATTCGACGACCACTTCCGTAATTCAAAACCAGCTTTGTTTAACACCGTTTGCAAGAGCAGTATACGCGCGACACATCTCAGTGACACTATGTCAAAATTAATATTTTCATCGTCTGATGACGAAATATTAATTCAAGAAGTTGAAAATAACCCTATATTATATAATATAGCTGCTACGGATTATAAAAATATTATAATTAAGGACACAATTTGGATAGAAATATCGGCAAAAATTGAACAATTTGGTAAATAATATAATAAATAATTTTCATTACATTTATTCAAGTACATAAAATAATTCTGAAATGTATTTAATCATTTTGTAGTAGATGAAACGAAAAAGCGCTGGAAAAATATTAGAAATTCGTACTCGCGAAATAAAAGGAAACTGGGAACTGGATCGGCAGCATCAAAGAAAAAAAAGTGGTCATTGGCAACACATCTCACTTTTTTGGACCAAGTTGAATGTGAACGAGAGTATGTATAAAAATTATATATTATTTGTAATTTAAAAAAAATGGGTATTCATAAAAGTATTATTATAGTGAACTCTAATTTATTGTACCTAGTTGGTAAAAAAAGAATGTAATAAAAACATTTTAATTTTAACATTAACATTTTCATATGTAAAAATTGTAATATACGATAAATTACTAAAATTTTCAGCTCGGCTTGTAACGTAACTATAAATCATAGTATGGACGTTCCTTGCGATGAAGAAAATGTCGTTGATACACTATGTGAAGCAGCTAATAGTTTACCGACTGAAACTTTAATTAGAAAGCGTTGTATTTCTAAATCAAAAAATGTTGCCGATTTATTTGTGAATAATTCAGAGGAACGAAGTTTGCTTATTAAGAAAATTATGAATCAAAATGAAAAACTATTGGAAAAGAAAGAAGAAAGTTTCGATGAACTTGATTTATTTTTTAAAACTATGGCCGTAACAGTTAAAAAATTACCAATCAAAGGGCAACTCGATGCTAAGAGAAAAATTTTTTCATTGATGACTGAACTTGAAGAAAAGTATTTGTTAGACGAACAACCTATACACCCACATGCTGTTCAACAACATTTACAAACATTGCATTCCTTCCAGCCTTCACCATCAACAAGTATGTACTCAACATCTTCAGACTCACAGTTTTCCATGTACAACTATGATGGCCCCACTACTGCATAACATTTTACAATCTGTAATATGTTTTATTTTGATTTTCAATTTTTATATTCGCTTATTTACATACTGAGTACTAAAAGTTTTAATTTTTATTATTTTTTTTGTAAAAATAAAATCTACGTTTATTTTATATGATGACCTATATATTTTTTTCATTAACATTTACTTGTTGAGTAGTTTATAATTTTTATTAAAAGTTGGATTTATTATTATGTTTGGTAATTTAATAATAAACATTTATGTGATTTTTTATTTAATTATTATTATTTTATAACTTTAATTATTAGTTATGATTTAGGTTACCAAGAAAGAGCCCCTTCATTATTAAAAAATTCTTTGAACAAATTTCTAACTTCAAATCCTTTAATATTTGAAAACCCTGCTCGTCGGGAAAGTGGCATCATATTGTTAGTTGGTGGTAATTGTTTAGTATCATATTCGAAAAATGGTCGTTTATTTTTCTCTAAATATCGATCACGTAACATGTTGTGTAGACAGCAGGTGACCCATATTAAATCGTCGATTGTGGTTGTTTCTAAATTGATTGGTTGATAAAAAATCCTAAAAATTTGGTTTAATAGTCCAAAAGCATTTTCAGTTACTCTTCGAGCACGACTTAATCTGTAATTGAACACAGCTTCTGAAGGATTTACTCTCGCAGATTTCCTCGTGTACGGTTTCATTATATGTTTATGTAAGCGAAAAGCTTCATCACCAACAATTACATGGGGCGCTACTTTGTCTGATCCAGGAAGTTGACACTCTTCTGGAAATNCGATCCAGGAAGTTAACACTCTTCTGGAAATCCAAATGTCCCAAATAAAATGTTCTATCCAATATTTGACTTCAAAAAAATGCCACTATCGCCTTCTTTACCAAAAGAACCAATGTCCACAGTAACAAATTTATAATTCGCATCCATGAAAAAAAATCTTTATAATTATGAAATAATGACCCAGAATTGCTTGGACTTCGTATACGGACATGTTTTCCATCAATTGCTAAAATACAATTTGGGAAATTCCACTCGTACGGAAATTCTGCGGATTTTTGTTTATAATCAATATTTTTTGAATCGGGCAAAAAAATGGGCACCAATTTAATTTTCAATTCAGCTAGTGTTTTTTAGCTTCGATGCGAAGCTGAGAAGGTATTGGTTTTACAATGATGTGTTCTTTTTTTTTTTTTT